AAAAGTTCATTTTTGCTTTTGTTCCACTAGCTTTTGGAGATGTATCTTGAAAGAAGTTGCTGTGGCTGATGTCGAAGAGGTTACTGCCTATGTTCTCCTCTAGGATTTTGATGGATTCCTGTCTCACATTGAGATCTTTCATCCATTTTGAGTTTATCTTTGTGTATGGTGTTAGATAGAGAATGGTCAAGTTTCATTCTTCTGTATATAGCTGTCCAATTTTCCCAGCAGCATTTATTGAAGAGACTATCTTTTTTTCCATTGCATATTTTTTCCTGCTTTGTCGAAGGTTATTTGACCATAGAGTTGAGGGTCCAACTCTATGGACTCTCTATTCTGTTCCATTGGTCTATATGTCTGTTTTTGTGACATTTTAAAATGAAACTGTTATACCAGTTTTTCAAATGTACTCAGAAATATCTAAAAACCAGAGATGACACCTATACAAATCTATGTATTGTTCAGTAATTAGTCATTCACTATCCTGACTTTTTGGAAAGAATATTTTCCAATAAAAAAGCTTTACCAAGGCTCATTGTATGATTGTTTATTATGTATTATTCTTAAAGGCATCGTATTATGGAGCTAAATTAGACAAAACAGGAGAAAATAACCCTAAAAAATTAGAAATTTTGCATTTTAGGATTATACCAGTGAACAAAAATATTTGACTGTGGACAAAGATATTCTCTCTCTCTATATATATGTGTGTGTGTGTGTGTGTGTGTATATATGTGTATATATGTGTGTATATATATATCTTAGTCTTTCTAATTATCTATCTAATATCTATCTATCTATCTATCCATCCCAAATTTCTATTTTCTAGATCGACTCGAAGTTATGGATGGTCAAAGGGACACACACATACCCTTGAGAATTATTAAACATAGTTTCATTTCATGGTTGAAACTAATAAGTATTAAAATAATTTATGTAATAATAGCTATAAATGATAACTATGATGGAATGAACACTGGCCTGGAAATCAGTAAACATGGAGTCTAGTCCCAGCCCTTTCTCTTGGGCAAGTCAGTTCTCCCTTCTGGATCTCTGTAAAATGAGATGATCAGAGTACTTGGCTTCTAAGGTTGATGATGAATGATTTAATGAAGCATTCCTGAACCAATCCTGTTTCCAATACCAAGAAGAATTGGGGAGCATGGGATCTGGGTTGAGGTCCCCCCCCGGCCCAGAACTGATTCAGCTTCCTCCTGACCTCAGTGTCACTGAGGCTGAAGAGGAGGAGGAAGAGGAGGAGGATAGTGTTGTGCATGGATGTGGCTGGGAACCCAGCTGCAGGGATAGGTAACCTAGGGCTGAGGACACCTGTAATTTCTCTGTCTCTGTACATCCCTATAGGCTGCAGTGGGTAAAGGTGAATAAGTAGGTGCTACACTTTTCTTTTCTTTTCTTTTCTTTTGTCATATAGTGGACTGATGCCCATCTGGTGATTTCCACCTCCCAGAGCTGGGATATGTCATTCCTTAATTCAAGGGTGGTCAGCATATACACTGGTTTATTTATTCTGACAATGAGATCTGGCTGCCACTAAAAGTGGGCTACCTCCAGTTGGTCTTAATGCTTATTTAAAATAACATGGCTGATATTGATACTCAGAATACTGAAAGTGCCCTAAATTAGGAGTCAGAAGACCCATGCTTTTGGCCTTTTTATCACTGGCTTGAGGTTATCACTTAATATCCCCTGGTCCTTATCTGTAGAAGCAAAATTTAGCCAAAGTCCCATCCAGCTCTAATGTGTGACTCCACAAGAGTGAACCCACTGCATTGTACTTGTTGAAGGTGCTGGGCCTGCCACCAACCCACTTCATTCAGATGGCCTCCAGGAGATGGACATTCTTTGGTAAGTCCCCAGCTCTAATGCTCTTTTTCCCATTGTGATGATGAAGTCTCAAAGACCTTGGAGATACCTCCCATACCTCCCATACCTAAACCTCATTCAATGCTCTTGCCTGGGCCCATCCCAAAGGGCAAGCTGTGATTAGGAGCTTCTGCTAGAAAAGTAAAAAGCTGCTGAGAAGTGGTACCAGAAAGCATGATGGAGATGGGATGGGGGAGTCACATTGGGAAGTAGGTCTTGGCATAAAAATGACAAGGTTTCTGCTCAGAAGATCTATCAGCAGATCTTGAAACTTGAAAGCTTATAACTATGCCCTTTCCTGTAAATTCTCCTTTCTCCTGCAAGCAGCTTGCCCCTTCATACTATGTACTGTGCAGAGAAATCATAGAACAGAAGCTTCTAAGAATGGTGGGAAATTTCTTTGCTACATTATATCATTAATGGAGCATCATTCTTTCCTGCTGAAATTCTCCTAATCCTCCAAATCTTTACTGTGCCAGAATCATAGCAACTTTGCTATAAAATGGGTAAATAAAGCTGTTAGAACAGTTTGGCTGTGGATATGTTGTGGCTTGCCAGTTATGTATAGGACAGCTACCTAATTGCTGGAGTTAAGCTTCATCCATGGCCCCATGCTGCCCAACCTCCATCACAGTTTCCAGGCTCTGGATTTTCTGATCCTCTGCCTTTCTGTCTGATTGGTGCTGTGCAAGATGGACAGGTGGATTAACAAGGTCCAACTGAGGCAGGGCTTCCAGGGCACTATGCACCAAAGAGATGAAGTCGGTCCCATATCTAAAATCCTTTTAAAGAACCACAAGAACTTAAGGGATTCTTATGTAGAAAAATCCATAGTGACCAGAAATTCGGCCAAGTGGAGTGAAGCCAGACATGAGGGAAAGGGGACTCCACAGATAGGGGCTCTTCACCATCTGGAATGACATTTCTGACCACTCATTCCCATCGGGATAGTTCATAGGCTTCTATTGGCTATGGAATATCCATCATTCCTAGCCCTCTCACCTCTTATTTCCACACAAGAGTGCTTTCAAAATAGGGGCAAATCCCTTACTTTCTTTCCACAGCTTGCCCCATAAGTAAAAGAGTTAAAAATACCCTGATGGGGGGATTCCTGGACAAGACGGTTTTAGTCATGTTGATGGTCAGTCAGTATACATTAGTTCAGTCATGTGAGGGTTAAAATGTAATCTACTCCTGCACCATTTGGTAAAAAGCCCCTGCCACAGCTACAGGTTCCCTGGCCCCTTTCCCAGGACCTGTTGGACTTGCCAATATCCAGAAACTAAAAGTTTAAGGCCTGGCAAGCTGAGGGTCCTCCATGACCCTGTTTCAGTACCAAAGCTATCATCCTTTCTGATTGGTTAGTCTCATGCCATTCCAAGGTTAAATCTTTGAGACATCATCTTGTAGTCATGGCTGGAGCTTTGAAGACCTTCCTTGTGGGCACGGTAAGTGTCCTGGCTGCCTTAGAACAGTGCCCATGCATTAACCCTTCTTCTAGAGCAGTCTGATGGCAGGCAGGAAGATTTTAGCTGACTTGTTTTTATAACATACATAGGTCAATGGAACGGGTCTTTTAACCCCAGGTATGCTTTTACCATCCACCACTTTTAATTTAGCCTTCTGGATTTCAAAGGATTTAGGGAAAGAAAAGTAGGGAAATTGGTGTTCCCTCTTGACAGACAAAGACATTGTGGGAAGAGTCACATCTTAAGCCCATAACACTGAGTTTAAGATTTTACGTTGTGGGGGGCACTAAAAAGAAAGGAATATAGGGCATTTTGGTAAGAGGGTCTGGTTCATAGAGTACTGGTTTTTACCACCAGCATGAGGCTTTAGAATAATGATGTGTTTTTGGTAGCAACATCCACATCTTCACTTCCTGCATAAGAAAGGACTTTTTTGGGATCTGCATCTTCTTCAGCATTTCCCAAACTTTATCTGATTATAAGAATCAGTTGGAAACTTGACAAAAATGTTAATTCCCATTATCTTCCTGTGTAACCTATGATATAGCAGATTTGAGGTGGGATGCAGGAGTCTGTATGTTTTTGACAACAGATCTTTGTGATATTTATGATAAGTTTGAGAAACACTATGTTCACCTCAATTACTGGCTCTCCCTTCCCCAGATTTGGGCTGCCAACAGCTCCTCAACCCCCAGCCACTTGTAGTTTATACCCCTCATTAGCAGCAAAGTGATGTTGCTTCAAAGGCACTAAGATGCTTAGGTGCTCCAGGTCACAAGAAGGAGATGGAGAGATTAATTAAATATTGAGGAGCAAGAGAGGTGAGAAAAACTTGTACAAGAAAAACAATTACATAATGATGACTTTAGAAGCTGTTATTTATAAGCCTGTGACCCTGATTATTCAATCATTTGTAAAAAGAGCAACATAGGGTCAAATGGGAGCACTGGTGCCATAGTAAAAAAGGAAATGGGGTTTCTATGAGTTCACAGTACCTATACCCTCTGCAATACTCCCAACTCATTTTTATGTCTGTAAACACACATACCCATGTGTTTATATACACACATATACGCATTCAGAGTCTCTTCTAGGAATTCAGTGTGAGCAGATGTTCTTTTTGAGGCCCCACATACTGCATTGATTATAAAAGTAATAGAAGGGCTTCATTATGCACCTTCCAGAATGTCCATCATGTGACTCCTACTGAGTTTTTGTGAGAATTGTTTAATGTGTAAATTGTGTGTGTATATTCACATCCATCCATATGCAGATTTACAAGGTGTGAGCATAAGTGGTCATCTTTTCTGAACATGATGTCCAAATGAGTGGCCTCCCCTTCAAAGCATTGCACAGAATATTCTAGAGAAACCTCTGGAGCTGTCTTCAGGGCTTCTTTCCAGGCATGATAAATACATTTGGTGAGAGTTTTAATCAGTCAGAATGACTGTGTCTTAAGCAACAAAGCAAGTTTAATCATTCCAATTTATGGACAAAATTTTGATGTGACTATAAAAAAGTAATGAGATTAATTTGCTTCTGTGGCTTGTAAATGAGTTCTGAAAGCAGATGATTCTCCTACAATGACTTTCTTGTTATACTTCAGGGATGTTCCAAATTATTTTATTGGGTTAGTGGGAAAGGAGCAAGGGCATAGATAATCCAAGAATAGACAACATCTTTTTTTGTTCAGAGCTGAATGTTTTTGTCACTTCAGATTTATTATTATTATTATTATTATTATTCATTCTCATTATTATTTTATCCTAGTTAAGGTTAAGCCATTTGATTTTGGGAGGAGGAGGTGGAAAGGAGGCTCAGAACATACTGAATAGGGGGGAAAAGTGTTTGTAAAGGTTAATTGCATATTCATTGGATAATCTACATGTGATTCTTTCCATCTGAATGAGATGGAGGGCATGTTTGTGTGTGTGGGAGGGGGGTGGTGTAGGACAAAGCTAGAGCTGCAAAGACCACTCCAAGAAGCAGCATGGTTGAGTGAACAGCTATGATGTGACTAATATATATTAACACCTGGAACTAAACACAAAATGTTGTATCTCCAAAGATTCCAAAGGTTTTCCTAAAAATATGACCAACAACAGGGGGAAAAAAAGATACCCGGATTCTAAGGATCTCACGATGGTGCTGAAAACCTACGACACCAGCTTCCTGGACTTTCTCAGAAGGTGTTTGGTGTGAGTTTGCAGGGGTGTCTCTGCCTCTGGGTTTCTTCTTTTTTTTTTTTTTAAAGATTTTATTTATTTATTCGTGAGAGACAGAGGGAGAGAGAGAGAGGCAGAGGGAGAAGCAGGCTCCCAAGGAGCAGGGAGCCCGATGCGGGACTCGAT